ATTCTACTGTCAGGACATTAAAACTTAAACTTACTCCTTAAAACTGCTCCTCCGCCCAAACGGATCGCTTGACGTCATAAGAGGGAGACGTCTCCCCAGAGCGCTGAGAAAGTGAGTCTGTGAGCTGTGTTGATAATTGTACGAGTGATAGAGCGAGATAATTAGTGATTAGGACATTTATTTATTTAGTTAGCTATTTAAGTTAGGTAGTTAGTTAGGTATACGCAGGCGTATTTTCACAATGGTGAATTACTGCGGTAGTGCTGGGTGCTAACACAGTTAAAACCGGTCACAGAGTCCACTTTTTCCCAAAAAGCAGGTCTGTGTTCCGTGCCTGGGTCAACTTTGTTCGGCCCAAACGCGCTGACTTTAGTGCTGCTTCGGTATCCAAGACTTCGGTCATTTGCAGCGCACATTTCTTCCAGTTTTTATCTTTCCACTGTTCGATCGCGCCCGCGTGTCTCTCTCTCTCTCTCTCTCTCTCTCTCTCTCTCTCTCTCTCTCTCTCGCGCGTCTCTCTCTCTCTACTTTAGTGCTGCTTCACACACACACACACACACACACACACACACCAACACCAACATATTCCAGCATTGCAATCTTGCCATCGAAGCCTGTTCATTATAGCCACGGAGCTTCAGAGCTAAGGCGGAGCTACAGATTATGTGTCCCTAAATAACCCGTGTATTTAACAGTAGTTCCGCATTAATTAATTTGCACGCGAGTTTTATTTATTTTTATACTCGTGTATTCATGCACTGAACCGTGACGCCCGTACCGTTTCGGTATACATGTACCGTTCCACCTCTAAGTTATGGCTATATGCACCTGCCCAACTCTCCACTGGTTATCTTCACACCAGATATTTCTGTTTCTTCGATAGGAATTATTTAAATTTCTGTTTGCCTCCTCATCTGTCTCACGCCTGGGAGGCTCAAAAGTGTATGGCTATGGGGGGATTTTGAGGGGGATTTTGGATCTGCTCAGACTCAAAACTCCCCATACTTGAATAGAACGTGTGGCACGACTCCCTCTTCTGACGTCACAGCTCAGCTGTGTTTTAAAAATATGATCTTGACAGAAATGGCTATAAAGCTTACTGTAGGGTAATTACAGTAATAATTTTAATGATAATTACATTTTCACTCAGACATCTAACCCTTATTTAATATATCTAAAAAAAAAAATTTAACCTGACATAGACACTTTAAATTAAATCAAGGTAGCCTGAAGTTAATACCCTAATGAAAACCGCCACTTGCCTAGTAATAAAAAACGACACTTGCATTAACACTTGCTTAGGAGTTAGGAGTCCTCTCGACTTATTTTAAGCTGTCCCAGTCTTAGGTGCTACTTTTAGGGCTAAAATGCTTCGTGAATTACTCTTAGTGAAAAAAATGATGAGTCCTAAAGTTAGGAGTGACACGCCCATTATTTTTAGGAGTTGCTCCTAAATTCGCCAGTTAGGAGCTACTTTTAGCCTTAAAATTCTTTGTGAATACGGCCCCAGGTCTCTATATTAATCTGAAATACTGCAATAATTGAAACAAAAATTTAAAAATTTGGAACAAAAATGGACCATAAATATTGCATAAATATTATTAAGTAACATCAAATTCTCTCAAAATACAAGATTAAAAAAGAAAAAAAATATCATTGAACAAAAATAAATTGCATTGGTTTTACTGGGATGGAGAAAGTTTCATTTTTAGGTGTCCGGTCACTTCAGACCGGGAAGATAACAAGTGTGACTCCGAAACGAAGAGCACCTGAGGGTTAAATGCATCACAGTTTATAGATGACAGTTCATCTTAAATTCAAGTGCAATGTGAACAAGTGCATCAAATCCATTTTATACATGATGTGAATCCATGGAATTTAGGATCAATCTGATGTGTGTGTTTTATAAATGAAGCCCCTGGAGATTATTCATCAGCTCTCAGAAATGAGTCCATCATCTAATATCATACAGCGTTATATTAGAAATGTCTCAGAAATGAATGTATTTTATCTTGTCATTTCTCTTCACACTGTTCATGTCTGTTTATTTCCACAGTCACTTTCACCAACATGAATCCCAAGACCAGGAACGACTTTCTACAATGTGAGTCACTAGAAAACAAGCAGGAAAACTCACTGAATGTGTTCATGTTCTTCCGGTAGAAGGAGAAATAAATCATGATAGAAGAGTTTTATAATTGATCATGTAAATGAGGATTTGCTCAGGATATTTGGTCATCTGTACTGAGACACTGATGATACACTGAACATTGATTCATGAAGAGTTCAGAGACATTAAAAGATCAGACAGATTCATAATTCCTGTTTCTGATGTGTTTTCTCTCCATCAGATTCCCATCAGCTCACTCTGGATCTGAACACAGTGAATACACACCTCAGTCTGTCTGAGAGGAACAGAGTTATTACTGTCACTGGCACAGAGCAGCCGTATCCTGATCATCCAGACAGATTTGATCGTTATTGTCAGGTGTTGTGTAGAGAGAGTGTGTGTGGACGCTGTTACTGGGAGATTGAGTGGACTGGGAGTCGTGTGTTTATATCAGTGTCATATAAGAGCATCAGCAGGAAGGGATCGGGTGATGAGTGTGTGTTTGGATATAATGATCAGTCCTGGAGATTGGACTGCTCTTCCTCCAGTTACTCATTCTGGCACAATTACATACACACTCGTCTCCCTGTAAAGTCCATCAGCAGAAGAATAGGAGTGTGTGTGGATCACAGTGCAGGAACTCTGTCCTTCTACAGCGTCTCTGACACAATGAGCCTCATCCACACAGTCCAGACCACATTCACTCAGCCGCTCTATCCTGGGTTTTGGGTTCGTACTGGATCATCAGTGAAACTGTGTTGATGTTTCAGAACAGATATTGAGAGATTTTACCCATAATACTTTGAGCCGCACGATAAACCAGTAACAGTGAGATGTTATAGAGACTCTTATTTCCTCTTTATTACATTAATACTGATGAACTTCACTGAAATAACACAGAATAAATGTGTGTATCAAATCCTCATAGAGACAGTAAGAACTGTGTGTGTGTGTGTGTGTGTGTGCGTGCGTGCGTGCGTGCGTGCGTGCGTGTGTGCGTACTTTTCTCAAACTCTGTTTTGGCGAAAATCTCATTCCTTTTTTTTTTTTTTTTTTTGTAGTGACAAATTATTTTTCATTATTACTATCAAAAGTGTCTTTCAGTTGAAATAATAAAACAGAAGGTTCTTTACAAAATGAACAGATTGAGGATAGTGTGGTTTCGAAGGAAATAACAGAAATGGTTGTGAACAATGTAAGGAGTGAAGATGTGGAAATGACATTAGTAGAGGAGAAAATAATGCTGGAAAACAATCACAGTTCAAAATGTGAGGAAAATTGTGATGCAGAAGATGAGGGATGAAGAAGCACTTTCTGAGATTTCAGATATTGGGTCACAAGGGATTGAAATCATGAACTCTTAGAAGAAATAAATGACTTTCACAACGTTTGATAAAGTTGTTGATGTGAATAGTTCTGTCCAGATATGGAGAAATGTATCAGTGTTGTTGTAGAAAGCAGTGAGCTCTAGTTCTGGATAAAAAGAAAAGGTTGCAGCTGAAAAAGATGAAATTAAGGAAAAGAAAAGTGCAGCTTCAGGAAAATATTTACTCTGTGCTTTTTCTTTTCTGTCTGTCTTCTTCTTGCTTCTGTATGTGTGTGTGTGTGTGTGTGTGGAGAGAGTCTGATCATCATGAGAACATGTAAAATCAGGGCATTTGTGTGTAGAGTGTTGCATAAATCATGAAGAGAATTGTAATGTGTGTGAAGACAGGGGAAATAAGTTTTGTTTTGAAAATTGTGTCTTTGTTTAAGAACTGAATAAATGGTTTGGGAAATTGTGCCAACTGAATCATTTGAGTGTTAGCAATTGAGAAATACACACCCAAACAACAGGACACAGTAATACACATCAGTGGCCTAGGCTATATTTATCAACATATATTTATACATATTACAAAATACATAAATATTTACTAAAACAGCCTAATAAATGTGCAGCGCGAGACTGCAGTGCTCAGTTTTGAGGGATCCTGCAAAATAATCATTGAATGTGGAGCACTTTTATGATGGATAGATACGCTTTTATAATGGATAGATGCACTTTTATGATGGATAGATGCACTTTTATGATGGATAGATGCACTTTTATGATGGATAGATGCACTTTTATGATGGATAGATGCACTTTTATGATGGATAGATACACTTTTATGATGGATAGATGCACTTTTATGATGGATAGATGCACTTTTATGATGGATAGATACGCTTTTATGATGGATAGATGCACTTTTATGATGGATAGATACACTTTTAGGATGGATAGATGCGCTTTTATGATGGATAGATGCGCTTTTATGATGGATAGATGCGCTTTTATGATGGATAGATGCACTTTTATGATGGATAGAGGCACTTTTATGATGGATAGATGCACTTTTATGATGGATAGATGCGCTTTTATGGTGGATAGATGCACTTTTATATGGATAGATGCACTTTTATGATGGATAGATGCGCTTTTATGATGGATAGATGCAATTTTATGATTGATAGATGCGCTTTAATGATGGATAGATGCACTTTTATTATGGATAGATGCACTTTTATGATGGAGAGATGCACTTTTATCATGGATAGATGCACTTTTATGGATTTCAAAACAGAAACAGCAATACACTGCCATTATAAAGCTTGGAAGAGCCAGGACATTTTTTTATTATAACTCCGATTGTATTCGTCTGAACAAAGAATGTCATCATATACACCTAGGATGGATTGGCGGTGAGTGAAATTAAATCATGGGCTCATTTTTATTTTTGGGTGAACGATCCCTTTAAATAAAATAAAAAACACGTACTTTACCGCTGTTTGCGCATGCGCTTCTCACTCGGCTTGTTCGGCTGACCCGGAAATAATTGGTTGGCATTAGCAACGTTTCGGCCGAGCCAGGCCTGAATACAGACATAGCAGAAGAAAGAGAAACAAACAGAGACAGGTTTGAAACTCTCAATTTATGCGTTTTCCATTGTGTGAACATTAGTCTGAATGTTTGGCGCTGCATTCGCTGTGTATTCGCTCAGATTGCGTGTGAAGTCAGCATCAGTTTAAAGCTATGAAAACAATGCTAACATACTAGCTGCCAGTATCTCATAAACAATAACAAACACTGAGTCACTGAATTACCTTCCGATCCTTTCGCTTGTACCAGAAATATAGTATCAACATAACTCATTCTTTTATATTGTAACGCCACATCAAGATGTTCATGTTACAGATATATGTAATGCATTGATGATGATGCTGCTCTGATCATATCAGTTCATAAACTCTGTGTCATTGATTTAGTGGATATTTTACTCAAATGCACTTTTGTGACAACTGATGTGTTTCATTTGAACTACTTTAATCTTACTTTTCCCTCAGAAAACACACTGAAGAACAGGCAAACTTCCATGTTAAGCCTCACACTGAGATTGTGAGGCAAGAGACTATAACAGAATGACAAGGTAAAGTCGTGAGTCCTTGCTCTGCTGATGAGACGCTTCACAACAAAGAGGCATTTTAATATTAAGATATAATCATTGTTGACTTGAGACACAATGGACTATTTGTTACAGACTGCAATAGTGTTTCCAAAGTCATGTGTATTTTCATTTTTAATAATGTATATTTATAACACTGTACTTGGTGTTATATTATCTTGCCATTAAATTACACTACTGGTCCAAAGTTTGGGGTCACGTACGAGTAACTTACAAACAAACTAATGAGCGCTGCTGCAAGTGTTTCTAATAAAATGGCTCTGAGGTAAAGATGGTAAATTGGACATTTCTCTTTCTGCTGTAATCAGTCCCTCCGTGTTTCTTTTCGTGTTTTGAAAAGTTCTGGAAACCGTCTTTTTTTTTTGCTATTGGGGCAAATAAGAACGCATTAATCATGTTCTCTGTTGTCTCTCATTCACTTCTATGGACGTTTCTATCATAATTTCTGTGAACCCCGGAAATGTGCAACTTAGGCTTCATATTCAAATGTCAAACTACTGTAAAAGCAGCTTCTGCTGAATTTAACTTTTCACAGTTTCAGGTAACCGGTTTCAGTTTAACATCTTGACACTAGAGCCCGACCGATATGGATTTTTGGGGGCCGATACCGATATTAGGGAGTAAAAAAAGCCCGATACCGATATATCGGCCGATATTATTTATGTGTATATTATAATACAGTAGCAATATTATTTATGTGTATTATAGTACAGTATACCAGTCAAAAGTTTGGACACTTTCCTATTGGTGTGTACAAACTTTTGATGGGTACTTTACACAGTAGCTATAAACAGAATAAATATATTTTATAAACACGTTTTGCAATGATCACTCAAATGTGGTAATCAAACACTTGTGTGACACAGATATGTAATGGAGGCAGGGGGAATGATAGAATGAGAATTATACAGCTGAGCTGTAACCAAACTAGTTAGCATTGCATGTTATATTATATTATATTCTAAATACTGTTGCATAATCTTCACTAACGACTTTGTCTTTTAATTTAGTCATAACTTGTATCAATAAATATATAAAGTGTCACTGACAAAACCTTATTATCTTCTATTTTTACTCTTAATTCCTCTAATCTCTACCAGTGGAGGAAGAACTCAGATCTTTTTACTAAAGTAAAATTAATAATATCATAATGAAAACGTTTTTAATTACATATGTACAGTACTTTTATACTATTTTAAATAATTAGTAAGCAAAATGTACTAAACGTGAAACTAGGCTACTCTTAATGCAAAATGGCCCTATATAAAGTGTTATAATTATATAAATTATTGGAATATTGCTTGATGTTGTAACGTAGCGTTATCAGGCAGAATGAGCTTTAACACGGTGTCTACACCGGACACGGCCGTTACTGCTCGCGTCGCAACAGTTTACCCTAGACAAAGCAGAATCAGTTTACTGTCGGAGATCGCTCGCGCCACGCATTTTAATCAATGTTTCATCAACCAATTGCCTTAATAAATAAGAAGTAGGCCTAAATATAGCAGTCAATATAATCAGGACTTCTCAGCTGCGCGCTTGCAATAGTCACAAGCTCACACAATACATGACAGAGGCTGTAGCAGAGAAATCAATTCTGTGAATTACACTGCGCAAATCACAAGTAGGCTACTACCCACCGGATGAAGAAGAGTTGCCTCTCAGTCTCCACAGGGTACATAAAATATTCATTTTATTTTATTTTTCGTGTTCGCATTTATGAGGAAAAAACCATGTTACAGACGCGACAGTTCAGCACTACAGACGTGAGCGCTCTGAAAGCGGCACTAATGCTTTGAAACTTTCACATAGACATCAAACAGAAAGCACAAAACCTTTCGTTTCAAAGTGAATTTCGTTTTGTATTAATTGTATCTTAATTTTAATCAATGTTTCATCAACCATTTGCCTGGATTTAATTTATAAGAAGTAAATATAGCAGACGATAGATAATCTCGACACGGAGGCGCCTGCGGGTGAACTGGAGCTCGTCTCATAAACCGAAACTCAGCGTATAGACCTGAGAATTGAAATATATCTATATTGAAATGTCTACTTTTAAACAGAACAACTTCAAAACGAAAGACAGACAGACTCTTGTAATCGTATGAAATGTGCATTTCTCTCTGGCACGCACGCCTTCACTGAAGATCGCGAGTCAGCATCGTCAACTTCATCTTTGGCTGACACTGACTGAAAGCACTTGTTTATTAATAAACAATTAAAATGAGTCCTTGCTATTTGTTGTATTCATAATCATTACTTTTGCCAGTTCTTGTGACAGCTTTTAGATGCTTTATTGGCAGCGCCACCCTTACATGAATCACCGCACCCGCATTTTTTAAAATATTCATTTATCGGCCATTATAAATGCCGATACCGATAGTTAGGAAAATGCCAAAAATCGGCCGATAATATCGGCCCGCCGATATATCGGTCGGGCTCTACTTGACACACTCTGCGTTTCTTAGGGGCCGTTTACACGACAACGTTCTTAACTAAAAACTGAAAACTTTATATGTGTTTTGGCCGTTCATTCATTTACACAACAATGCCGTTTTGGGGCCTGAAAGCACAAACCTTTGAAAACAGGTTTCACAGTGCAAGTTTTTGAAAACGACACCCTTACTGTGTAAAGTACTCTGTGTAACTACTACAATGTGAATGTGTGTGTGTAGTTTCTCTACGCCATCTACTGGCCTGGCATCAATAATACAGTGATTCTGTTCATTTTCATGGATCTTTGTGAACAGGATCGTTTTGACAATGTTGTCGTCTGTACGCAAAAAACACAAAGGAAAGACTTTTCTGATTTTAGTACATCGTTGTGATGTAACCATACCCTAAACCTTGGGGAAAAAATACTTTTTAATACTACACAAAATAAATGAGTGGAAGTGGGGGGAAAAACCCACTAGTAGGCTATGTATATGAGTTGAACTCAAGTACAGTTCCTCAGTTTCATAAAGCATCTTGTCATAATGAAGCATTATCCAATGTTTTTTGTGTGTTTTCCAGCTCCTCCACCCCTAGAATGCACACGTACAAGAGGACGTCCAGCCCTCGGTCGCCAACGAATACAGGAGAGCTTTTCACACCAGCACACGAGGAAAATGTGCGCTTCATTCATGACAGTAAGACACGACACACACCTTTATAGCTGAGCACCATTTCCACCTTGGAAATGTGTGATTCCCAGGCCTGAGAGTATCACCGAAACTATGAAATATATAAAAAGCATGGGAATATGTCATTTTTGCTGTAGTAAATGCCGTTCTTTGTCAAATTTTCGTTCTTCGCAAAATATTAAAGATTAAATTGAATGTCGTTAAGCCAATATTAAACGAGGATTTGATCTGCTGTAAAGTGTAACAACACCAGGCCGTTGGCGCCCTCTGCTGGCATTTGTAATAATACATAATGTACATAAGTTTTGTATTTTTAAAGTGTTATTCTATGAAACCATATGATTACTTGCTTTTGACTCTTTATTTGAACCAAATGTTATTGCCCCATTGTTATAATATGTGTTTTAAGTCATTTTAAAAGGCTTAGGTCTTTGCTGAGGTCTATTTTTATTACCACAAAAATATCCGATTAATTGATTAATCGGCAAAATAGTCGACCGATTACTTGATTAGCAAAATAATAGTTAGTGACAGCCCATATAGCACTTTATACAATAGATTGCTTTAACACAATCAGCTTTACACTATTAAACATGGCAAACGTTGTCAGTGTCACTTTCAATTAGAATTACAACTTCAGTTTTTACTGTAAAGTAAAGTAAAAAAAAAAAAAAATCTGTCAAATATTTTTCTCTCCAAAAAGGTTTGTGAACCACTGCTTTGCTCTATGGATCGTTTTTAAAAATCATTATCCTGTAGTCATGTGCAAGTTATTGAAATACATTGGTCTAAAAAGTGTAGGAGCTCTTGATTTCAAGACATTAATGTCGCTGTAATGCTTCTTTTTTGTGTGTTTTCTTTCCAGCATGGCTTTGTGTTTTGAGAGACATTAAATCCCCACAACATAGTGAACGTAATGATCGTGGACCACAGGAGTATGTGGAGAAAAACCCAAATCCCAACCTACATTGTAAGTTTATTAATTATAAGACATTCGCTATTACAAATCCATGTCAACTCAACCAAATGTCAGAAACTTCATCGGCTTCCCCTGTTTTTTCTAAAGAAACACAAACATAAATAGTGATGAAAGCCCAAATATTAAATATAATGGCTGTATATTTACTGAGAAATACACTGTTTTGTCGAGGGCGTCAAAATGACCATTTTCACCTGAGATTTAGAGCCAAATTACATGAGGGTAAAATGACTTTAGAAATGACATTATTTTATTTTTACACAGAGTTTGGAAGGTCTATTAGTTAAACTTTAGAAATCTTTGTTTCATATATGCCAACAGTGACAGCTACAAAATGGCTTCTTGTGTTTTTTTGCCTCATGTTTGCATGCCTGTGACTCTAGACGTATTAAAGATATCTTAATATCCTTTTAGATTCTGGTTCTTAACACACTTTTCCTTTTGGTATCTTCATTTTAAGGGCCCCGTATGCTTCAATCCCAGAGATATAGAGATTTTAATGCGGCTCCATGAGTAAATTGGTCTATTGTTCACACACTCATTGGTCAAAAAAACAAATTTGGGTCACTTTTAGAGTGACATGCATGACAACTTTGATAAAGGATTATTTATGGCACTCAGACAGGTATGTTCAATGCAGTTGTGTTGATAGAAACAACTAGAGATACATTTCTAGTTTCAACATTATTTGTTGTTCGGATATTCCTCTGTAAAAGGAAAAAAGCATCAGCTGAATGCAAAGTGACCCACATTTGGTTTTTGACCACTGAAAATGTGTGTTATTGACCAATTTACTCATGGAGCCGCATTAAGATCTCTATATCTCTGGGATGGTAGCATATGAGGCCTTTAAATAATGAAAGTTTATTAAGAATGGGTATATAAAAGGATATTAAGATATCTTTAATACGTCTAAAGTTACAGGCATGCAAACATGAGGCAAAAAAAAAAAAAAGTGCTTTTTGCCCTTTTTTAACTATCACTGTTAACATACAATGAAACAAAGATTGCTAAAGTCAACTAATTTAACTAATAGACCTTCCAATCTCTGTGTAAAAATAAAATAGTCATTTTTACCCTCATGTAATTTGGCTCCAAATCTCAGGTGAGAATTGTCATTTTGACACCCTCGACAAAACAGATTCCCCAATAAATATTGAGATATTTTGGCTTTCTTCTTCATTTATGTATTTCTTTCACCAGAAATAGATTTTCCCATTCATGCAGACAATGTTAAGTGCTTGCTTTTAAATGTGTCAGCTTCATTTCACGTCTATTGTCTCCCTCAGCTTTTATACCAGTGGACCTGAGTGACCTTAAGAAGAGGAACACACAAGACTCCAAGAAGTCTTAGACCATTCCCTCTCTTTCGGCTCTCCAGTTTCTCGTCCGCCCTTTTACATTCGGGACCTTTTTACTCTCTCAGCCAACAAAGAGCCACGAGCCGGGATATCTTCTCTCTTGTCTGCCTCGTGGACCCGTGGTCTGGACTTACAGGCTGACGTCTGTTTATGAGTCGTTTGAGTGGCCATTCCCTGTTCTTCATGCTCATCCGGGCTCTCTGATCTTGCTTTTTATTTTGTTTGCAGATGGGGAAAATAACAGACTTGTGTCAGGATCTTATTTCTTTCTCCATGGGTTTTGTTTAGATTCTTCTTCATTTGCACTTTTTTGATGGTGAGATGACAAGCGGGAAAGGCACAGAACAGTTCAACTGTTGGAGCGACTCTACACGAACTTTCTCTGAACGGGATTTACTCCTTTTTTTTTAAACCATCTTCATCTCCCGCAGAGGAGTGACTGACTGACTGACTGTTGAGTTGGTAGATTCATAGATCGATCGATCGATTAGAAGAATTAGAAAGCTTTGTCTGATATAGGACAGGTGAGTTTGGCCTCGGCAAATATTTTTAGTAGATGTACCGCCATTTTTAACTGTAAAGCGATTCCTCCAAGAACTTTTAAGTAGGCTTTTCCACATCTTTCGTTCCCAGGCTTTAAAATAAAATGAAAATAAAGGTTACTTTTATGCTATATGTCAGCCTCTCTGCATTGTGTTTATATCCTGGAGTTGTGTCTGTTGACTGAGTTTTTGTTGTATGCTTTTCTGTAATGTAACAGAATGAATGTTTAGCAGATAAATGCATTTGTAAATATGCAATCCTTCTTTTCTGGAATTGATTCGTAAATCCTCTCGCGCACATCTTCAGCTCATGGCCGTAAACAAATGTGTCTCTCAGCAAACACTCTTTAGGATGAAAACTTGTAACAGATCATAGTTCATGTCTCTGACTAAAACATTTAAATTTCTTTAAAAAAAAGAAAAAGAAAAAAAAAGGATGAATCATTTTGAGATGAGTGAAATGATTAAGGACTGGGAAAGTCTAAAATTAACTTTTATTGACAAATGTTTCAGTTGCCCTATCCATAAATCCAGCCATCTGCATTTAAGACTCATTTAGGGAGGATCTAGGTTTTATTAAGCCATAATGTTTGGTGATTTATTATCTTCATTTTTTGGAGGCTTCTGTGAAAGTGAGAAAAGTTCAGGTAAGTGATCGTGATTCTGCAGATAATATGATCTCAAAAGCCCTTGTTAAACATATCACAAGTGCCTTATGTATGTTTATGTGTTTCATATATACTATGCATTTTGTGGGGACACACTCATTTTCAGTGTTTGTTTATTAAAAAACACTCGTTTTTAATATAGAAAGTTAATTTAGTTTCTTATTTGGGTGTTTCAGACATGAATCATGATGAGGATAATTAATTTAAGGGAAAATGAACAAAGGTTATTCAATAATTACACTGATTTTATGGCTTTTGTCCAAAAAAATCCAGCAAAAATAAAAAAATACTACAGAATCTACTAAATGTATTAGATTGGGTCCTTGTCTAAATATAATGATGTGATTAAATACTTTGAAAATAGAGAGAATATCAATGGTTGATTAAAATGGCATCTAGGCTATATATATAATATAAATGTATATGGTATTTATTCATTCATACATAAAATTTATTCATTTATTCACTCATTCATAAAAACTATTTTTGTGAGGCTTAAATTAGTATATTCACATTAAAATATATATTTATTTCTAGTTTGGAAAGGTCGAAAGGCAATACGCCTGAAAAAAGTCAGTGTGGAAATCATAACTCTTACACTAACTTATAATATTTTTGAAGAAAATCTACAACGTTGAGTCTCGCGTTGCTATATAAATCATAATAAAATATCAATGGTCTTGATTAAAATTGCATCTATATATAATATCTATGTATATAGCTATTCTCATTCATAAAAACTGTAATTTTGTTAGTGAGGCTTACTATTACTATATTTACATTTCGACGAGTTTGGAAAGCTCGAAAACCAAAACGCCTGAAAGTCCGTGAGACAATAAAACTCGTACTAGTCAGTCATTTAAGCCAAAATGAGGGTCAGCCTCGAACAAATTGCAACAGAAGCAAACTCAACTGATTTTGTATCCTCAATATGTCCTGAGTAAGAGAAAAAAAGCCCCGAAGAATCCCATTAGGGGAAAGTTTTGAAAATGACCCAAATATATCCCATTCATACGCCTATTCATTATTTTACTCACGTGAATAGGGTAAAAATGTGAACCTTTAGATATCATCATGAAAATTACTGAGTTGATTACTTACAGCAAGACAAACAAAAAATGTATTACAAGTTGTTGTTTTTTAATTGTTTGTTGGTCAACATGGTCAAACGGTGCATAATCTAATTACGTACGCCTATGTGTGCTAATTTGCATAACACAACAAATCTAAACATTGGGTATAGCCAGGTGAACATGTCTTGTTGAATCTTGTTGACATAGGATAACAGTAAAAGACTATAGAGGCAAACAAATGTCACCATAAGGGGCAGGTCCACACTCAAGGTCCACTCAAATGTCACTCAGGTAAGAAAGATGTCCTTTTGTTTCTCCTTCATGGAATAATTTGATTGTTTGATCCAGACACTTTTTATGGTCTATACCTTTTGTCTTCTGCATTCTCCTTACCCATGTCTCCTGTTCTTCCCTCAGACTCGTCCCCCAGAAACAGTCCCACGGCCCCAGCCCAAACCCCATCTCTGCCATAATAATTAATTAAATTAATTAAACTTCTTCCTGCCTCTATGTAGTAGCTAATGCTCATGGGAAGCCTAAATTGGATCCATTCAGACCTTAACATTAAGTCCTTTACTGTTATATGTCAACAAGATTCAAAAAGACATCTTCACCTGGCTATACCCAATGTTTAGATCTGTTGTGGTATTTATGCAAATTGGCACATACGTAGCCTAATTAGATTATAGATTAGTCCATGTTAACAAACGATTTCAAAAAAACTTGTAATCATTTTTTTTGTCTTGATGTAATTAATCAACCATCAAATTTCCATATATATGGGTCTTTTTCGAAACTTTCCCCTAATGGGGTTCTTCGGGGCTTTTTCAAGACATATTGAGGATACAAACTCAGTTGAGTTTGCTTCTGTTGCAATTTGTTCAACCTTTTGTCATAAAATGACTGGACTATACACTAACATAACACATTTAAAGAAAATCTACAGTCCATAGACAAAAAAACACACAGTCTCGCGTTGCTTTTAAATCAGAATAAATAAACACCGCTTTCCAGCCGTGAGGAATTTAAACCGGAAGCGCTCGTTTCGCAGATGTACGTCATCAGCGTTCCCGCTATAAAGGCGTCACCCGGCGTGAGGACGTGCGTGCGTTTCTTTCCTCTCTAGTGAGCGGTAACGCAGGGGCAGTGTAGTACATCAAACGTGCTGTTTTTTTGTTTTAGTTGACTTCAGTGTTTAGCGTTAACAAAGGCCAGGCGATGGCAGACAAGATGGATATGTCCTTAGACGACATTATAAAGCAAAACCGGCAGCGCGGAGGCGGGCGCGGCGGGAGAGGAGGCCGCGGGGGCCGCGGAGGAACAGGCGCCCGAGGAGGAGGCGGCGCCGGCGGACGGCTCGGAAACACAGGCGGGGGCTTTGGAGGCCGCGGCGGAGGATCGGGCCCCATGAGGACCCGCCAGAACCTGAGCCGCGGAAGAAGCAGACCTACGCCGTACAGCAGGGTAGGAGAAAGCGGAGAAAATCACGGGCGGCATCCACATGCCAGTGGGTGAAGCCCCGTTTTTATCTTTCTAGGCTGCCAGCAAACATGGCGGCGAGCTCGTGCCCCTGGAGCTTCTCTGGGAGTGTAGTTCGGGGAAGCTCGTTAGATATATATTGTGCATAATGTGTTCTCTCCCTAAGTTCTCTTGCCCTTCGTGTGAGCATCAAACACCGTGGGTCGGGAAGAAGCGTGTGTGTCTCTGCTATTCATCCATCCGGAGGCCGCCGTCGACGCCATTTTGAGGACGGCGGATGCCTTTCATTGAGCCTAACCTTTCTTTGTGTTCGTCGACATCAGTCTTCACGGGGTCCTCCTTCAGATGTTTGAAGATCCTACCTATTTTTGTGTGCATTAAAGCCCAGCTTTAAGAAGGCCTTTCCTCCTCGGTGGAATTCGCCTTTGTTTTTTGGGGAGGGGTTTCATGGTCCAATATCATTTAAAGCAGAAAGATAAGTTACATAGTGCTGGAGCCGTACAGGATAAACGGACGTTGGCCATCTTTGTCCGGGAATTAATGGAGGTTCACCTCTTCTAATTGATTAGTTTGAGCTTTAGTGAGGGCTTTGTTTATTTAAGCACGTCAAAATGGCGTGGGTTCAAAATGGACGCTCCATCATGGACACTTTCGGTCGCCTTGTTTTCACCGTGTGTTTTGGACTTTACTGTGCTGCTCCTCACCGGAGACCCGTGGATCCTCCTCATCCACATGACGGAGGCCTGCTGGGATTCGTTTGGATGAACGGCAAGAGACTCTTGGGGTTGCTGGTAGCTAGCTTTGCTACCAAAGGGGTGGTGGGGAAGTTACTGAGGGAATACTGGTGTTTGAAACAATAGGCTACGATGGGTTCATTTGTTGTTAACCTGCTCTTGTAAACGGTTATTGCATGTACATTTATTAGAATTAACCCTCTGGTTTTACTTACTTTTGATGCTAAGCGGTCAAAACAATAAGCATAACTGTTTATTAAGAAACATTTTTTTGGTGTTTTTTGAGTTGATACTACTCTATTCATTTAAGTTATGCTCCATTTTATTTTCATCCCTTACAAAAATGAACCATGGTTTTACAAAATTATTGCAATTCAACCATGATTATTGAAGTTAACGACGGTTTTGCTACACCAACCATAGTTTAACCATGGTATTTGTAATAAAACTCGTTATACAAAATGGTAATCAATCTGACAAAAGGCATAGTTACTACTACACTAACTATAATAAAACCATGGTTAATTTTCATGAGGGATATACAATGCAACTATAAGTGGTTAAAAGTATAATGCTCTGTATTTCCTAGTTGCTTTTTAGACAATTGTATTTATTAGGATTTGGATATCAGTTTCAAAGATTATAGACCTTGTCAAACTACATTGTGGCTATTTGCTGGTTTTACCCGCTCAATTTGTATAGTTTCCCTTCATTTTCCATGATTTGATCACAAGCAAAAAAGTTTTTCTCCCCATATACCAAGGGTTTAATTTCTTAAACCTCTTTTTTTTGGTCTAAAACAACCACAGAGCACCAGAGGGTTAAGCTTGCCTCCACTGAGATCGAGTGAATTGCACATCCATCCAGTAGAGTTAGAGAACGTGATTTGAACTCTGTTCCGGAGCTGGCATGGTTTACTTGTTTGTAGTGATGGGGTGGGCAGGGATTTCTGGAAGTGGCAGTAAGCGCACTGGGTGTCCCTGGCCTTGTTGAAGCGGAGCCCCCTGCTTGCCCCAACACCCAGCCGAGTGGACTGTCAGTGACAGACTGGGGACCCGAAGTCAGCAGGTGCGTTCTCTCTCATCTGTTGCAGCCCAAGCAGCTCCCGGACAAGTGGCAGCACGACCTGTTCGACAACGGCTACAGTGCGAACGCTGGCGGGGGCGGCGGCGGTGGAGGCGGAGGAGCGGGCGTCGAGACGGGAGGGAAACTCCTCGTGTCCAATCTTGACTTCGGCGTGTCTGACGCAGACATTCAGGTAGGTGTCGGTCTAGAAGTTAAAGTCTTTGAGAAATTGGGTTGTTTCTGCAGCTCATGTGTGCTTTTAATTTTGCTACAGGAGCTCTTTGCAGAATTCGGCACTCTAAAGAAAGCAGCGGTACATTACGATCGGTCGGGACGCAGCCTTGGCACTGCGGACGTTCACTTTGAGAGGAAAGCAGACGCCCTGAAAGCCATGAAGCAGTACAACGGTGTTCCCCTTGATGGTAAGTGTGCATCCTACAAGCTCCCTCGGTACCTTTTTACAGGCCCCGATATACTTGCTAAGTTGTTTTGTTCTTCGCTTTGGGGTGAAGTTTGAAATACCTTTGCTTATGCTGTTAGCGAACACCCTGATGCCGTCCGCACTGCTGAGGGCGGCGTTCAAATGTATGTAAATGTGCTGCGCACTTTCCTCTCAATAACAAAATAAACATGCAGCAAACATGACAGTGAGGAGAAAACGGCAGTTAAAGGGATAACTCACCCAAAAATGATCCCTTAATTTACTCGCCTCTCAAGCCATCCTAAGTGTATGACTTTATTCTTTCAGCTAAACACAATTTATTAAACTGTATAAGACAGGTATATTAAAAAAAATATCCTGGCTTTTCCGAGCTTTATAATGGGAGTGAATGGTACCTTAGATTTTGAGGCCCAACAAAGTGCATCCATTTAAAGTAATCCATAATTAAAGTCCTTCTGAAGCAATGTGTGTACGAATCCATATTTATAACTTCGTAAACCCTAATCACTGGCTTCTGGTAACCGTATACAAACTTTTTGACGTGATTTTTGCTCAAATCAAACAAACTTTTGGGACGTCATTAAGTATATCGGAGCCTTTAGAAGGGAGTCCTTATCCAATAATCTTGAGTCGTGGGAAAGCCTGTTCAATTGATTGTGAGTTTGGCAGCAGTTTTCAGTGGTGTATGCTCTCTCTTTCAGGTCGCCCAATGAACATCCAGCTTGTTACATCACAGATTGATGCACAGAGGCGGACTCCGATGCAGGGGTAAGGATGATAAACAAAGGGTGGTTTAGTCTCTTGCCTTGTATTTTCTAATGTTCCCTGTGACTGAATTTCTTCTCTCCTCCCCAACAGTCTCAACCGTGGAGGTGGCGGCATGAACAGAAACCGAATCGGAAGCTTCGGCACACAGAAAGGTCGCGGGGGACGTGGAGGCGGCGGCGGTGGAGGGTCCAGAGGTCGCGGGCGAGGGGGTCGTGGCGGCGGCGGCAGCAAACAGCAGCTCTCCGCGGAAGAGCTCGACGCCCAGCTAGATGCCTACAATGCCAGGGTGCGTTCAGAGAGGCTTTTAAATCAGGGTTCCCACGGGTCCTTCAAATTCTTGAATATTTGGAAACTTTGAAAAAAAATTCAAGACCCTGGAAAGTGCTTTAAATTTATTTTGTGCAAGAAGTTTTCTGGTAAAAATGTCAAATCCTCTCCGGCCTGCTAATGTGTTTCGCCAACACTTAATGGCTTATGCACACTAGCTTGCTTGGTTTACGCTAGTTACGTGCATGTACGCGTTACGTTAAAGGGATACTCCACTTTTTTGGAAATAGGCTCATTTTACAACTCCCCCAGAGTTAAACTGTTGAGTTTTACCGTTTTTTTTTTATCCATTCAGCCGATCTCCGGTTCTGGCGGTACCACTTTTAGCATAGCTTAGCATACATCATTGAAGTGGACTAATGCTAAAATGCTAAAGACAAGCATTTCTCAAAAAAAAAATGACCAAAGAGTTTCGATATTTTTCCTATTTAAAACTTGACTCTTCTGTTGTTACATCGTGCACTAAGACCGAAGGAAAATGTAAAGTTGCGATTTTCTAGGCGGATATGGCTAGGAACTATACTCTCATTCCTGCGTAATAATCAAGAAACTTTACTGCCGTACCATGAGAGCAGCAGGCGTAGTGATATGACGCAGCGCCTGAAAATAGTCCCCAGCTGCGTCATATCATTACGCCTGCTGCACTCATGGTACGGCAGTAAAGTTTCTTGATTATTACGCAGGAATGAGAGTATAGTTCCTAGCCATATCAGCCTAGAAAATCGCAACTCTACATTTTCCGTCGGTCTTAGTGCACGATGTAACAACAGAAGAGTCAAGTTTTAAATAGGAAAAATATCGAAACTCTTTGGTCATTTTTTTTTTTTGAGAAATGCTAATGGTCTTGTCCACTTCAATGATGTATGCTAAGCTATGCTAAAAGTGGTACCGCCAGAACCGGAGATCGGCTGAATGGATTCAAAAACGGTAAAACTCAACAACTCAACAGTTTAACTCTGGGGGAGTTGTAAAATGAGGCTATTTCCAAAAAAAAGTGGAGTATCCCTTTAAGTGTTTCCGGCGTGAGGTACTTTGTGTTGTGCGTTGCCATGACGTTCACACTACTACGATGGTACCTCGGCGTTTGTTGGACATTACTAATGTGTCCCCACATTAAGTCTTTGGATTTGATGGTATTGGGCCTGGAATGCCCTTGAATTTGAAGTTAGTCAAGGTGTGTGAACCCTGTAAAATGTGCCTTTTTTACGTCTCATCTGGTACTAATCTCCTTTTGCTTTCTTTGCTCCTCTGACAGATGGATACCAGCTAAATACCAGCACCTCGAGCTGCGTTCCCGCTGTTCCGACATGGGAAGAGTGGTCATCGTTGTAATAGCTTTGAACATGCCGGATGTTTTACACGTCTTCAGAAGTGATTTAAATGTGTAACAGACTTTCTCCTTTTAAAATGCTTGTGTTTTTTACCTACTTTGTTTTATTTTTGTTTTCAATTTTTCTTTTTCTGAGAAAACCTGGTTGGACTGTAGGATTTTAAGGGATGTTATCTTTAACTATCCTTGTGTAGATCATTGAAATAAAAAAACCTGCAGTATTTAGTAACCACATGATGTCTCTGCTTTCTCCATGCGCACATTTTGCACTTAATCACGATAGAGAATTGCGAACACTAGTCAATCATACGTTTATGCAGCTTTGAGGTGTGTAAGTGAATTGACAAAACGCACTACTCCTGCCTTCCACTAGATGTCTACATCTCTATCTTTTGCCTTTATGATTAGTGTAACGATGCTTTTGTAAGAGTTAAACGAGTTTTAATGGGTATTGTAAACCCTTGTTTTGGTCTAAATGTCAGTTGCTACACAAATTAATGGCAAGAAGCCTTAAGAACATTTGTCTTTTACAAATGCAGTGATTAATAACAGGTTATTTGTAAGTATTGCAGTTAGATCTGTTTTTAGTCACATGCTCTGCTGTTCATGAAATGTAAGAACTAGTCACATTAATGATTCATACAGGTTTCTGATTGGCTACAAGGAGTAATGTATGAAATGCTACCAACTAATCTAATACCAGTATGAAGTGTAAAATATCTCAAGTTGAAGCTTGTTTTGGTCGTTTTATGGAGAGCTTGGTTAATCAGGCAAATAAGAGAATATTAACTACCACTTTTTATTGAACAAATGTGTCATTGCATGATGTATACACGTTTATAAATGTGATTCGAGAACATAGACACTAGTGGTTTATGTGTTTACAAGTTTGAGATCGCCTCCTAGCGAATTCTCGAAACGGATATGACGTAAAGCCTCGTAAACTGAGATCACGTGACTGGCAGTTTGATTCATGGTTTGATTCGCGCTCTGCAAGGTTCAAAACAAATGATTCGAATCTTCACAAATGATTCGAATCTTCACGAATCAGTGATTCGAACGCGCCAGTGAGCAGATCAGTAATGTTTACGTTAATATAATAGCGATATTAGATAGATGTATGACACGACAAGCATTTAAATGCACACAAACTAAAACGTGGCACCTTAAAAAACAGGCTGCTATTGTATTAATCTCCACGAATTAATCCCCACCACTTTGTTTCGTTTGAGCTCGAAAAGAACGAGGGTGTCGTTGCGCATGCGCAGAAAGCGTCAGGCGCGTGACGGTATTCCCGGAAGTGTGTCGCTCTGGCTGGCATCGCCGCCGCTCCCTCATCGCGCCATTGAGAAGTCAGGGAAGCTTTCTCTAACCTATAAACTCGCAGTACCCGCAGGTCCACGGTAAGTTTTCACAACAGAAACACCACGAAGATCTCATATGACACTCTCGGAAAGGGACACGACCTCGTTTTGGCTTGCGTTGACATTTTTTCCCGGTAGTTTTGCATCTTTCGTAGCTCGGTAGCAACGGCAGGTTGACACAAGACAGCAAATTGAAACATGCATTTCCTTCCTGCTCCACAAACTACATCCACAGCCCGTTATAAAGATGGTCAATGCGAAATTAAGCATGCATTTAATGTCACGGGTCAGACTGGAGGGGTTTGTGTTCTCCAGTTTCGTTTTGATAACCCAGTTTTGTCTGAATTGGTCATCAGGCGTTGTCCGAAAAGCCTGTAGCGGAACATCAAAGTTAACGAGCATTTCCAAGCTCGATATTGAGCCTTTTTCATACAAAATAGAGTCATCTAGAGATTAAACTCTGCGATTGTGTTTCCCAAGAGTCGTGACAGCATGTTTTCTGATATTCATTGTGCTCGGGAAAGTTGCAGTTTAGATCGTCTTTTGAAGTCATCCAGAAATCGAGACATGTCCAAAATATTATTTAAAATCATATTAAAACTGTGTTGTGATATTAGATGTTGACTGAGAATAAAGGGCCAAGAAGTCGAAGGGAAATATTTTCAGAACTTGTTTTGTACTGCGAAATACACATTCACACAATCTTCTGTTTTATTGCATGAATTCGTGATTTGTCAATGGTGTTAGGAGTCTGATTGAAAGCATATTGAACTTTTTATTTATTTATCATTATTTAAAACTTCCTGCCGTTGTAAATAATAGTCGATTAGTAGCTTTAGCTTGCTAGCATGTGGAGGAACTTCCTGGATCACAGATGCAACTTGATATATATAAATATGAGATTCTATCTATATTTTTTCCCTTAGGCATAATCTGCAAGTACATATATTATGTTGGTTGTAAAACAAATAAATACTGGTAGAAAAACGTTCATCATCATGATTTGCTTTTCTTTTTTTTTGTTTTTCCTGTGTAAATCCCGGTTAATTGAATCGCGGCTGGCAGCGGGTGTTAGCTAAATCCACCTGAATCTGACGCTAAGTAAGTGCGAGGTGGAGATTAACGCAATCTTTGCCTGAGCACAGATTAAATGTTAGGAAGCATTTGCACACATAACCCTGTCTTGTGTTTTCAAAGAGACTCCTGGCTGACTTCATTAACAAAAGAAACCCCCTGAATATAATCAAAGCTAATTTCCTTCCTGTCTAGCGTGAGCGGCGCGTTGTGTTTTCTAGTTCCTTCTTTTTTTTTTTTTTGTCTTACGCGAGTTTACGATTCTTGAAGAACTGGCGTATCATGAATATTAAGTGCGTAAGGTGACGTTCGCCGCTGATTGGCCGAAAGGCGGAGACAGCCGACGAATGAGCGAATTCTACTGTAACGAAGGCGTGGTTTTTAAACATTAATGAGGTCACGTGACTGGACGCATCCGCGCGTTTCAAGGATACGTCGGCAGGGTAAAATTAATATTCATGAGCTCAGCCGTTGCTGTAGTATCCGTAATTTTGGCAGGGCGGTGTCTGCAGGCCTCCTCAGTGTTTAAACTTAGTCCTTAAAGTGTGTTGAGCAGCCATTTGGGTTATTATACAGTGTTTGTAACAAAGGTTACATTCGTACAATCTGTGTATTTTGTTCAAAGCTGGCCTCACATGCCATCTTTAAAAACGAAAGGACTGTTTGAAAGCGTTGAACGTTGATAGTATTGCACATGTTGCCTGAATAATGGTGTCTTTGTCTATACTGAAATTCAGTTTACTTTTAAGGTTTTATTTAAGGTTAAATTACAGACTAAAGAGATGTTTAATGTGTGCTCCTGTCCACCAGCTTTTTGGTCTTTTATCGTCATTAAAAAAATGAAATATTGACGTGAAATGAGGGGGTTTTCAGTGTCCTATATATATACACGTGACCACAATTCAATATTTCAGCTCTGTCAGGGGAAACGGAAGGGAAAGTAGGTTTCCAAATTAATTTATTATGTTTAACAGTTTGACAACTTCTGTGCGTTTACCTTCTTTATGGTTTATTATGTCCAAAATGTGTCTATGTACTACACTCTGAATGATTCCCCCCCCCCCCCCAAAGACGAGTGCATATACAGGAATATGTACAATAACAAACAGACATGATCTGTCAGTGTGTTTTGTTAATGTCATTGTCTGGTTTTGTGTGGTTCGGCCGATTGAATGAATAATAGATCTTTATTCCTTTATGAAGTCTTTCAGGCTGACAGAGCAGCAGCGAGAGACAGACATCAGAGAGATGTGTGAAGCCACATGAAGGTCAGGCCTGATGGGCCATCTCTGATGTGACCCCCTCCCGTGGCTCTTCTGCCGTTTATTGACCCCTGTAAAGCTGTACAGCTGGGCAATAAAAAGTTATAGCTTGATTTATTTATTTTTTTCAGTGTAGTAGATACAGGGGTTGGAAAATGAAACGGAAACACCTGGTTTAGACCACAATAATTTATTAGTATGGTGTTGTTGGGCCTCCTTTTGCGGCCAATTCAGGATCCGTATTGACAGATACTAGTCCTTCAGTGGGATTTTGAGCCGTTCCTCTTCCAGAACAGCGGCCAGGTCACTGTGTGTGTGTGTGTGACTCGCTCTTCCGAAAAGATCTTCCTCAAAATGTGCATTTCTAAGAGACAAAACATGTAAAGTTATTAATAATATCGCAGCCTGCACTGCAAACCGTGCTGAAGATACACATAAACAAAGTCAGGCAACGCACGCCTGTTTCAAACAATAATCACACGTTAGCATGTGAACAAATTGATTTTTCTATTAAGATTCATCTGTTTATTTAGTTTGTGTTTGTCATGTTCCGGCAACAAAGAAGAGTTTATAAAAACTAAAAAAAACAACGGTCTGGTTTCTACAACGTTCACTTAGGAACACAAATCTGCCTTTAGATTTGAAAGAAATAAAGATTTGATGTTATTCTGGTAATTATTTATATTGACTGATATACAATTTTTTTTATCGTGATCATTTCTTTGGCCATTTCGCCCTATTATCAATAAGAAAAATGGAAGCCAATAACTATTACGTATATAATAACTGACAGGCGAGATGCAGTACACGCGATCATGTTATCTTGCTTTCGGAGGCGGATGCTGCTGCTGTTTGGGAACGCAGTCGTGAGAGACACTTCGGGAAGTAACACTGAACCTCTTGACGACAGACTTTGCTCAGGCAGTTTATTCGGTAAATGTGTTTCCATCATAGTTTCCGTGCATGTTTTCTAATCGGAGAGAAGTTTATCCGACTTAATTGAGCGCATAAGGCTTTTAGAATTAATGCACATTTTGGTGTTTCCATCCACGTTTTTTTTTTATCCCATATCCCAAAATGCGCATAAAAATAGGTGGACAGTGAAGGTGGACTCATCAGAGAACAATACGTTTCATATTGTCCACAGCCCAAAATCTGCACTGTTGACTCAAACGAAACCAACATTTGACATTGGCACGGGTGACCCAAAGGTGTGGCTATAGCAGCCGGATCATGAATATTGACCCTGGAGCTTCCCGACTAACAGTTTAGGTGGAAACGGGACAGTCGAGGTGCGCATTTAATTCTGCAGTGAGTTGGCCAGCTGTGCTTCTGTGTTTTTTTGGATACAATCCGGGTTATTATCCAGAGATCTCTTTCAGACAGCTTCCTCTCCTGTCGACAGTTGCTACTGTTGGATGTGATTAGTCCGTGTGGTGGTATGCTGACATTACCCTGGATAACATAACTCCCGATAAACCACAAAGACCTGCTGTCCTGGTCACAGATGACCACCAACCTGAACTCTGATACGTCTCCATTTGTGTTCTGCAGATTGCAATATTTTATGACCAGCTGTGCTATTGCTCTGCTAATTCAACATTCACACTATCCTCTTACTGATGGCATGTAAAATCAGTGCAGATTGGCCACCAGACGCACATATACACTCGCCGGCCACTTTATTAGGTACCCCATGCTAGTAACGGGTTGGACCCCCTTTTGCCTTCAGAACTGCCTCAATTCTTCATGGCATAGATTCAACAAGGTGCTGGAAGCATTCCTCAGGGAGTTTGGTCCATATTGACATGATGGCATCACACAGTTGCCGCAGATTTGTCGGCTGCACATCCATGATGCGAATCTCCCGTTCCACCACATCCCAAAGATGCTCTATTGGGTTGAGATCTGGTGACTGTGGAGGCCATTTTAGTACAGTGAAGTCATTGTCATGTTCAAGAAACCAATTTGAAATGATTAGAGCTTTGTGACATGGTGGAAGTAGCCATCAGAGGATGGGTACATGGTGGCCATAAAGGGATGGACATGGTCAGAAACAATGCTCAGGTAGGCCGTGGCATTTAAACGATGCCCAATTGGCACTAAGGGGCCTAAAGTGTGCCAGGAAAACACCCCCCACACCATTACACCACCACCACCAGCCTGCACAGTGGTAACAAGGCATGATGGTTCCATGTTCTCATTCTGTTTACGCCAAATTCTGACTCTAACATCTGAATGTCTCAACAGAAATCGAGACTCATCAGACCAGGCAACATTTTTCCAGTCTTCAACTGTTCAATTTTGGTGAGCTCTTGCAAATTGTAGCCTCTTTTTCCTATTTGTAGTGGAGATGAGTGGTACCCGGTGGAGTCCTCTGCTGTTGTAGCCCATCCGCCTCAAGGTTGTGCGTGTTGTGGCTTCACAAATGCTTTGCTGCATACCTCGGTTGTAACGAGTGGTTATTTCAGTCACTGTTGCCCTTCTATCAGCTCGAACCAGTCTGGCCATTCTCCTCTGACCTCTGGCATCAACAAGGCATTTCCGGCCACAGAACTGCCGCTCACTGGATGTTTTTTCTTTTTCGGACCATTCTCTGTAAACCCTAGAGATGGTTGTGCGTGAAAATCCCAGTAGATTAGCAGTTTCTGAAATACTCAGACCAGCCCTTCTGGCACCAACAATCATGCCACGTTCAAAGTCACTCAAATCACCTTTCTTCCCCATACTGATGCTCGGTTTGAACTGCAGGAGATTGTCTTGACCATGTCTACATGCCTAAATGCACTGAGTTGCCGCCATGTGATTGGCTGCTTAGAAATTAAGTGTTAACGAGCAGTTGGACAGGTGTACCTAATAAAGTGGCCGGTGAGTGTATATATATATATATATAGGACAGGAGTTGATCCTCCAACACTATACTGGCCAGTGTTTCAGCTTCATTGTCCAACCCCTGAATGTAGGCCTGCAAATATTACGCTGCCTTCACACCGAACGCGCGAATTGAAGAACGTCAAATTTGCTTCTATCGCGTCTAATTGGAAGCTTGAACATTTTGAATCCACTCGCGCGCCCAAAGCGAATTGGACGCGTGTATAAAACGAGCGTTCGAAGCGAAATAGACGTGCGTTCGAGGCCAGGTCCACCACAACATGCACATTTATTAAGTTTATACCTTTTTGAGTCACTAACTTTTTCAAATGGCAGGTTTTCCACGTTAGTAGGCTATATAAGGTAAAATGATAAAACCATACATTGTTAGTAGTCCTATTATTAATATAACATGGTAAACACTCCCATATTTGGAAATGTATGACTGCAAGTGTTCAGTGTCACATTCGTAGTTAACAGCTGAACAATGTCATTCCTCCTTTGATGTCCTGAATAATTCTATAGATCTGTGCCATTTCTTTGTTCAGGTTAGTCTTTTGTCCAGATGCTCGATTCGCTGTCAGTGTGAACGTAGCATAAAGAGCTGCACGTTTCCTGGTAAATTAGGAAAAACATTTTTTGTTTGTTTCAAACCGAGATCACGATTCTCCCTTGATTCTGATCAGACAACTAAACAAAACATGTAATTTACTAGAGGTTCTGACAAATGATAATTGCTGCAGTCAATTTAAAATGTTTAATTTGAATGAATTATAAAAAAAATAGAGTTGAAAATGATTCAATGACTCACTCATAAAGACTTCATGTGTTTCATCACTGGATGAATCAGCGTTTCTGAATGAATCTCTTGAATCAATTATTCATTTTTAACAGTCACTCGTCGCCACCTACTGGTGTAACAATGGCATTCATATAATTGTTATTTGAAGCGCTGAGTTACTTTTAAAAGTTGATTCGCTCGGTTTTGATCGCTGCCGTGTTTATATCCGAGCTATAAACGTATATCCCAGTACTTCTGTGATATGAGTTATTGTACAGTATTGTAATAGCGATACTGTGTGTGTGTGTCAGCGCCAACACACATCTGAATGTTCGCTGTGATCGTACTTGACGGTTTAATAGACCGAGCCGAATCGCTGTCATTTAGGGATAAGATCGAGTGGGTGTTTGAATTGAGAGAGCAAATTGTTTTTGATACATCGTGCAGCTCTGCTTAATATATTTCTATACATTTGTTCTGAAACTAATTAACAGGGTGACTTTATTTCTTCAATTCATCTCAAACAAACAGCCATTGTAGCCAATTAGATTTAATTCAATTCTTTTAATGTTTGTCCTAAAAAAGTTGGTTCACTTAAGTAGCTAACTCAAATAAAAATATATAGTCATAGGCCTATTTATTCATATGATTTAATATAACAATGCACAGTACTAAACTGCAATATTTACATTTTATATTACAAGTTTGATTTCACAGAATGTCAGAGTAAAATGCAAACGGATGTGTTGCACTCGCAGCTTTGCTGTAGGACGGGCTTGTATAGTTGGGGATTAGCGTAAATGCAGCGTTTTTCTAGTTTTTACTACAGTAAACAATACGAATATACCGGTGGTAGACCTATTTAAAAGTGAACGAAAGGAAGAAATGTTTATAATCAGTCCTCTGTAAAAATGAGTGAATATTTAGCCTAAGAAAAGAAACTTGAGATTCCATGTCCAGTGGAGCAACTCATGGAAAATTGTTAAATATGTGTAAAATCGTGCGACGAGATTGCGAAACAAAATACAAATCCAACAAATGGCTTTATTTATGGGCTCATGTATAGCCTAACTCTCTCTTTTGGCACCAATCCAAATGTTTCCATGGTTGCTATGTAATATTTAATAGTCATAATATCCATTTAAAAGCATTTATCTACAAAAAAATGTTTTGGCACAGCTCTATTAATTTTGTTTTTTTCCCCTGTGTTATTAATAATTGTGGAATTTCGCTGATATCAAAATGTTGGTATCGTAATAAACTACACAGCGCTGGGAGATCCAGTGAGAAAGTGTTTGAATTCGCCACAGTATTAATAACATCGCTGCGAGATCAAGTGTGAAGCGTTCAAATTCAGCGCAGGATTCTCTGTTATAAACCATTTCGGATCAAAAAGCACTGATGTGGA